TTATAAGAGCATGTTCGTCATGGTAAGAGCCTAAAATTCCCAGCAGAGTCGCCATGCTGTCGCGCCCCCTTTTTTCCCTTTTTCGCCAGGAGAGGAGTCCGGGTTTCGAAATTTCATGGTGGCAATAACTCATTTCCTTTTGGGAATTGGGTATTTGAAGAGTCGCCACCTAACAGATTATGGTGCGTTGGGGCACCTAGAGCGGTCAACTCTTAGATTGGTTTGCATTATCAAAGATTAGGGTAAGGGATCGAAATAACACCGAGGGGAAGGTGTTAGGCACCCCTCTTGGTCCACAACTGTGGGTCCCGGCCGAACTTATACTTACGAATTAGTCCATTAAAAAAATAAACAGTTGAAGAAAATAATTGCAAGCAGAGCATGTTGGGCATTGTATAACTCAAATAACAAAATAAGAATTTAAACAGGTTGTGTGCATAAAAAAGGAAAGTAAAGCTTCAAGTAAAGAGAATTTGGGGAGAGGGAGGTCCTAGGTTGGTTATCCTATAGGATCACATCAGTACAATGCCCGGTAATCACTCCTTGGAAATGGGCTACGCGTGGCATCATCACACCGGTCATCATATCCATATCTACCCTCCCATCCCCTTAGTGGTCATGCAAAGCGAGTGTTGGTCAATGATCTCTATTGCGTGCTGCTACCCGTCCCTTCTTAATGGTCCTGGAGGGATTTAGGACTTCTACCTATAGGTGGTTCTAGACAGACCCCTAAGGTTTTAAAAGGTAAAAATACTAAGGCGACGAGCAAAACAGTTAGGACTTTTTGCACGTAAGATAAAGGGAACAATTAGAGGCTCAAAGTTTCCTCCTCAAACAAGACACAGAAACAACACGACTCAAACACAATTAAGGGCTTTCTATTAAACAGTATCCTGAGGTAGGATGCCTAGGTGAATATGTAGAAGGCAAGCAATTTATTTTTATAAACTCAGGAGTAATGACCCTAGCAGTTGCCTATGGGTTTTTTGGAAGCCTGTTAGGATCAGAAAGGCATTAAGCAATAGAAACAGTTTCAGAGTTGCAGTTTTGAAAACGCCCTAAAGGCTTGCCTATACGCGGAGTACTGACAATTACATTTTATAGTAAAACAAGGCAGATTTTAAAACAGACTTTTAAATCCCTATGGGCATGCTATCTAATAACAGGTTAAGGCAGTTTTGAAAGACTTGTTTCAGGAAATATAAACTACTTAATTAAACCAATTCAGAAGTGAACTAAACGATAACCGAATTGAGTTATTTAAACTAAACTTAGGCAAGATCCATAGGCAGGATTTGGTAGCGCTCCCTATAGGCATGATGTCAAGGTTTAGTATTGACTTTAAAGACTTACAGGCATGGAAACATACATAAACACTTGCTATAACAAAATCTGGGTTAAATTACATCCTATAGGCATGACATTTGCTTGTTAGGCTGATTTTAAGACTTGCAAACATGAAGACATACATAAACACTTGTCATAATAGAATCTGGATTAAATCCTATAAGCATGATTTCTAACATGGTGAGACAAACATGACACGATGTACAAAAATCCTATAGGCATGTTTTCTACTCGGTGAGGCAATCACATCAAAATGTAAAGTCCTATAGGCATGGTTTCTACCCGTATTACCCCACAAACATGTAACTACCCATCCCCTTTTTACTAATTACCCTAATATCTATTTACAAATTAACCATATGAATGAATTACATAAATAAATAAGAAAATAAGAAGTTATTCTATAAGGAGCCTTCAATTAGGCCCAGATTTCCAAAGCCTCCAATAGCCTCAAATGCCCAAATTCCATAGACAATGTTATAATCCAGGTGCATCAGAGTTCCCTAAGGATCTCAAGGTTCCCGGGAAGTGCTTACACCTAGACTTGGTTACCAAATTTAATAAGTACAGTGTGGAAGGGCCAGCCTCAGTATGCCAGAGTTCAGAGGGTTCTCAAGAGGATCCCAAGGCAGTACACACGCTGGAGGGGCCGAACCTATTGACCTAGGAGAAAAGTGAAAGTGCTTGACACAAGTTAAAAGGTTTTAGTGAAAAACTGTATTAAAAAGGAGGTTTGTTTGCAAGTAATTTAGTAAAAAAAACCACGGAGGCAATTTGAAAAGAGATTGGCGTAATGAACAGAAATCCATACACAACACCTTTAAGACAGGTTCATACACAGCCAGGAGTCACAGAACCAAAGCAAGTTAAGTAGTCATAAACATGGGTCAATGGATTTGGGGATACATGGAGCATATGATGGTAAGCACATAACAGGTAGAGATAATTGGTATATACATGCTCAGAAACAACACAGAGGGGGTAATAAACTGATCCTAAAGAAGGGAAATACGTAACATGCTAATAATGTAAACATATTAACTACAAATTTCACAGCAAAACCATAAATAGAAGCAAACCAGAAACAGGATGAACTGAAGCAACAAAAGAATCATATTGTTGTTGGAACTTTGAATTGAAACTAGAACATACCAGTAAAGAAGACAGTAAGCAAAGTGAAAGAGCAGGAGAACACAATGGTTAGCCTTGGCTTGCAGCTGGCTAACATAGAGTAGTAGCAAGTAGCACAAAAAGAGAGTAGAAAGTTTTAAGTGTGAGAGAGAGAGAGAGTTTTTGAACCAAGAGTCCGTGTGCTGTGTTAATGAAAAACTAGGGTATTTATAGTTTGAAAGGAAGTAGCAAATAAGGTAAAAATCAAAGTTCATTAGTAATTATGGAGCTCAGAATCAATCAGTCAGGAAATCAAGGTAAGTACTCCCTTTAATTGAGGAGTTAACTTCAAACGGTAATAGACATTTGACAAATAAGGAAGGAAATCGTATAAGGCTGAACATGACAAATAAGGAAATATTTTCTGCATAGTACAAGTACATAACACATAATAGAGGCTAGGTTCAGCATATTTCAATCAAGGAAAGACTTAAGAAATCAATTAATAGCGTAATTGACCATGGAATAAGGTCAGAGACATTCTACAAGGTAAAAATCAGTAGAGATATCATACCAAATCAGTGAAAGATCAATCACAAAGATTCAAGGATTCAAAAGTAGAAAATAGAACTGATTTAGCACAACTTTATAAGAACAAGCACATAGTAAGCAAAAGCCAGAATTCTAAGAGGTCGAGTAGGACAAAAATCATATATGAATTAGGGATTCGTGTAGAGCATGGTCTGAATTAGTATAATAAGCATGATACAGGCGGGAGATGCGAAGAATCAGAAACATTGGTGAACAAAATAGGGTTAAATCACACAATAGGCGGGGATAGCCATAATTAGGAACCTTAACAAGCAATCATAGGGCAAACATCACAGAATCATAGAAACATACAGATTAACCGAACACGTTATCAAAACAAAAACTCAGAAACCCAAAATTAGAACTTAAGAAATTAGGGTTTTCAACATAGGCAAGTCAAAGAGGTAGTAAAATCATGGAATCAGTTGGAATATGCAAGAGACAGAAGTTTAAGCATAAAGAATCGGTTCAAACAAAGTTTTAGAAGAAGTTCTGAAAACCCTAATTTGAGAAGAAGGTAAAAACACTTTGAAACTGGTGATTCTTGTAAAGAGTTACAAAGATAGTGTAAAACATCAAAGAAACAGACTCAAATCGTTTAAAAATTGTACAGATCTAGGAGTTGTAAGCAAAACTAGGGTTTCAGAAGAAAACCCAGGTATAGATGAAAGAACCTGCCAAAATCTCAAGGATCGTAACAAGTACAGTAGGATTTCGCTTGGAACCATGTTGAAGTAGCCAAGAACAGACTAGATGGCAAACCCTAGATGCAAGTTTGCGTGGCCCAGGGCCCTTGAAGACCTCAGAGAAGGTGAGCATGGCAATAAAGGGGCCATTGGAGGCTTAGGAGTTGGAGGGTGGTCACCGGAGACGACCGAAGAAGGGAGGCGGCGGTTGAAGGAGCTAGGGTTAGGTTGAGGGGTTGAGAGAGGAGAGGAGATGAGAGAATACAGAGGCGGCGGATTTGAGAAATGAGATAGGGTTAGGGGTTTGTTTGGGATAAAAAAGGAAAGAACTCATGAGGGCCGTTGATCTTTTAGATCAACGACCAGGATTTAACGGGTCTTGGGTCGGGTAGGCAGGTTTAGGGCTTGGGTCGGATAGTTTAATGTGAAATTGGGCTGGGGTTGGGTCCAATTTAGGCTATAATCGAAATGTAAATCTGGCTATATTTTAAATAGCCATTTTCCCCTATATAATTTATAATAAATAATAAATAACTTCTGGAAAATAATTTTATGTACCAAAATAAATTAAAATAGATATTTATCATTTTGAAAATATAGGACCAATTTTACGCATATAAAATATATTATACATCAAACGGGCTAATATTGCAATTATATGCAATTTAGCTTAAAAAATACCAAAGGCAATTATAAAAATGAATAAAAAATATATTAATCATATTTTTGCATAAGTATAGAATTTAGATGATTAAATCACCATAATAATAATTTGGGGAATAATTATTTGGGATTTTATGAATAAAATGGAAGGAAATAAATCAATTTAAATCCCTAAAAAATTATGGAAAAATTATAAAAACCTTGTGCATGCTTATATATGCATGTATATGCTATTTTGAAGGTATTTTTGCAAATAAAATATATATAAGAAAAAATTGGGTATTAACAGCTGTCCTATGCAAAATGATTGCTAAAATATTAGCCTTCAGATTGCAAGGTGTGGTACCAGACATCATTTCTGTGGCCCAGGTAGGTTTTATCCCAAGCAGGAAAATAGCTGATAATATCATTCTTGCTCACGAGCTTATCAAATCCGATACAAGGAAGAATGTATCACCCAGATGCATGATAAAAATTGACCTGCAAAAAGTGTATGACTCTGTAGAATGGCCATTTATGAGGCAGGTGCTTGCAGAGCTTGGATTCCCAGAATAGTTTATTACATGGGTAGTGGAGTGGGTCCAAACAGTAAACTATACTGTGATGATAAATGGTGAGCCAAGTGAACCTTTCAATACAGCAAGAGGTCTTCGACAAGGACACTCAATGTCTCCTTTTCTGTTTGCAATTGCTATGGAGTATCTGAGCAAAAAGCTCAATGGGTTGAAAGAAAATAGAACCTTTCAGTTTCATCCATGGTGTGCAAAACTGGGAATTACACACCTCAGTTTTGTGGATGATCTGCTTCTCTTTGCCAAAGGAAACATAACTTCTATTACTGCTCTACGCAGGTGTTTTATCCAGTTTTCTGGAGCTTCAGGATTGCAGGCTAATCTTGGCAAGAGTTGTGTGTATTTTGGTGGAGTTAAGAAAGAGACTCAAGATAGCATATTGAGCCACTTAGGTTTCGTGCATGGAACCTTACCTTTCAAACACCTGGAGGTGCCTTTATCAACAAAGAAGCTCACACTACTACAATGGCAACCACTAATTGAAAAGATCACAGCTAGAATAACTTCTTGGACTACCAAAAAGTTGTCTTATGCAGGCAGAACTCAGCTGGTCAAATCTGTGCTCTTTGGAATTTAGGCCTACTGGCTCAATTGTTTCTAATACTTACAAAGGTCCTGAAAACTATAGATGCTTATTGTAGAATCTATGTATGGTCGGGGAGTAACACAATCACTAGGAAAGCTTTGGTGGCATGGGATAGAGTGTGCACTCCGAAGTCAGTGGGAGGGTTAAATCTTATCAACATAAAATTGTGGAATCAAGCTGCTCAAATCAAGACATGCTGGGACATAACTCATAAACAGGATAAAATGTGGATTCGATGGATTCATGCTTATTATGTCAAGGAAAACAGTTGAGGGACATGACAATCCCCTCACAAGCAAACTGGATCACTAGGAAAATACTGGAAGCCAAGGAGAACCTGGACCTGATACCTCCTATCAGAACTACTTGGAGAATGATCAATTCAGTCTATAAACAGCTCTTACCTACAATGATGCCAGTGCCTTGGAAGTGTCTTATGTTTAAGAATGATGCCAGACCTAAAGCAATTTTTACAATGTGGCTACAATTACAAGGGAGACTATCTACAGTAGATCGACTGGTGAACTGGGATTAATAATGGATCCTACATGCACACTATGTTAGAGTCAACTGGAAACAAGAGATCATCTATTTGCTGAGTGTGACTTCACTAAGGCTATATGGAGGAAAATGCAGCAATGGCCACAAAGAAAAGGGATAGCAGTGCAGACTTGGAACCAGCACACAGAATGTGCTATCCATAATGCCAAAGGAAAATCGTAGCAAGCACAAATTTTCAGAATGGTGTACGCTGAGTGTATCTATGCTATATGGATGGAAAGGAACCATAGAATTTTTGAAAAGAAGCACCGGAGCTGGGAAATAATTATGCGAGAAGTTGCCTATATCTGTCATGTAAGAGCAGCCCCAAGAGTTAAGGTTTTGATACAGAGTTTTATTTTTTAGAATCCAGTTATGTACTGGCGTGTATAGATCAGAGTTTCCTGATAGGTAGGTTTTAGATAGCTAATTGTGTTTGATTAGCTATGGCTTTGTACAGTTTCAAAGGTGATTAATGCAAAAACTTAGTTACCAAAAGAAAATAAATCAAACTAGGACAATCTTTTTGAAATGAACAGAGATGATGTACTTATCTAATCTAACCCAGAATGGACCATGCAACATTTATGTGACACTTTTCCTTCTTTTTCTTCACTCTATTTTATGGAGGGTAATTCGTTCTATCTTGGGAGGAAATAATCCTAAACCTCGGGTACTAGGAGGTGATTAAGTTCCTTAAGAAAACACAATGAATTCAGTGAGCTCGGAATAATTCTGTTCTTCTACATTTCTAGTTTTACATCGTTTTTATTTTTGAATATATTTTTGAATACAGATTACTAACAAGCTTAAGGAACTTAATATTTTTTTTCTGCATTCATCTTATATTCTAATTGTAGGAGACTAAGTCCTAGTGATTTCCACTCTCAGTTTGAAGACTAAAATCTTTGGATTTTCTACTCCTTGGTTGACATTACGAGATTAAAATCTTTGAGATTTTCTACTCGTTCTCTATTCGGTTTGAAGAAATAAAATCTTCACCATGGTATTTAATCTGTTTCTGTTAAGGTTATTTGGTTTGAAGATTTTATATACTGGGTAAATTAATTTTGTTTTTGTTTTGTTGTTAACAGAAATGACAAAAACAGTAACCCCCGTTGTTGGCTCTACGAGAAATGTTGCTACTTCTAGTCGTTCTATGCCACCACCGGCTCCGACGGAAAAGCCCGAAATTTTTTCGGGATTGATTTCAAACATTGGCAACAAAAGATGTTCTTCTATCTGACTACTTTGAGTCTACAGAAGTTCATCAAGGAAGACGTTCTGGTTCTGCCGGAATCAACTTTGGATAATGAACGTTTTATTATGATTGAGGCTTAGAAGCACTCATATTTCTTGTGCAAGAATTACATTCTTAGCGGACTAGAGGATGATCTTTACAACATCTATAGTAATGCAGAAACTTCTAAAGAACTATGAGATGCGTTGGAAAAGAAGTATAAAACCGAGGATGTCGGTTTGAAGAAGTTTGTTGCAGCCAAGTTCTTGGACTATAAGATGGTAGACAGCAAGCCTGTTATTACCCAAGTTCAAGAGCTGCAAGTTATAATTCATGATCTCATTGCTGAAGGTATAATCTGAATTAATGCTTTTGTTGAAAGTATTAATTTTGTTACTAATTACGAATTTTTCGCTGAAGGTTTGGTCATCAATAAGGCATTTCAAGCTGCAACAATGATTGAGAAGTTTCCTCCTTTATGGAAGGACTTTAAGAACTACTTGAAACACAAGTGCAAGGAGATGAAACTCAAAGATCTCTTCGTTCGATTGAGGATCGAAGAGGACAATAAAGCTGCAGAAAAGAAGACACGTGAGAACTCAACAATTATGGGAGCTAATATTGTTGAAACTGCTCCAACTAATCCGAAGAAGCGGAAGAAGTCTTCTGGACCAAACAGTTATCCCAGCAAGAAGAAATTCAAGGAAAACTGCCACAACTGTGAAAAGGTTGGACACAAAGCTGCAGAATGTCGTGCTCCAATGAAAGAGAAGAAAAAGGGTCAAGCAAATATGGTTGAATCAAATGATGATATTGATGACTTGTGCGTTATGTTGTCTGAATGCAACTTAGTGGGAAATCCTAAGGAGTGGTGGATTGATTCTGGTGCTACCCGTCATGTTTGTGCTGTTAGAGAAGCATTTGCTTCATATGTTCCCGCTGGACCTGACGAGACCATTTTTATGGGAAATTCTGCAACGGCCAAAACTGAAGGTTATGGAAAGATATTCCTGAAGATGACCTCTGGCAAGGTGGTGACTCTGAACAATGTTTGTCATGTTCCTGAAATACGGAAGAACTTAGTTTCTATTTCACTTCTCCTCAAGAACGGGTTTAAGTGTGTTTTTGTTTCAGATAAAGTTGTAATAAGTAAGAACAAGATGTACTTAGGAAAAGGTTATCTTACTGAGGGCCTTCTTAAGCTGAATGTAATGGTTGCTGACAATAATAAAATTTTAGCTTCTTCTTACTTACTTGAGTCAAATGATTTATGGCATATACGTTTGGGACATGTCAATTATAAAACCTTGCAAAAAATGATTAAGTTGGAAGTATTGCCTAAGTTTGAATATGACAAATCAAAATGTCAAATATGTGTGGAATCTAAGTATGTTAGACATCCTTATAAGTCAGTTGAAAGAAATTCAAATCCTTTAGACTTAATTCACACAGATATTTGCGACATGAAGTCAATACCATCTCGCAGTGGAAAGAAGTATTTCATTACTTTTATTAACGACGGTACTCGATATTCCTATGTTTACTTACTTAATAGTAAAGCTGAAGCAATAGAAGCATTCAAGCAATACAAAAATGAAGTTGAAACGCAACTTAACAAGAAAATCAAAATGATAAGAAGTGATAGGGGTGGTGAATATGAATCTCCCTTTGAAGAGATATGTTTAGAATATGAAATTATTCATCAAACAACGGCCCATTACACACCCAATCCAGTGGGATTGTGGAAATAAAGAATCGATCATTAAAAGGAGATGATGAATGCTTTGTTGCTAAGTTCTGGTTTGCCACAGAACTTGTGGGGGGAAGCCATTATTACGGCTAACCGGATACTAAACCGAGTACCCCATAGCAAAACGCAATCCATTCCATATGAGAAATGGAAAGGAAGGAAGCCCAACTTGTGGGGGTGTTTGGCAAAAGTGCAAGTTCCTAAACCCAAAAGGGTAAAGATAGGACCGAAAACCGTTGATTGTGTTTTCATAGGATATGCAACAAATAGTAAAGCATGTCGATTTATGGTTCAAAAATCATAAAATCTTGACATTCATAATAATATGGTTGTAGAATCAAATAATGCTGAATTTTTCGAAAATATATATCCGTAAAAAAAGGAATGTGAGTCGATTAATAAAAGATCTAAACGATCTCGGGAAGAAACAAAAGAAAGTACGTATAATCACGAGGATCCAAGACGTAGTAAACATCAAAGAACGTCTACTTCATTTGGACTAGATTTTGTGACTTTCTTATTAGAAAATGAGCCTCAAACATTTAAAGAAGCTATGTATTCTTCCAAATAATTATTTTGGAAAGAGGAAGTCAATAGTGAAATAGAATCGATACTGAACAACCATACATGGGAATTGGTTAATCTTCCTCCAGGCGATAAACCATTCGTGTCACGACCCAAATTCCATCATAGGTCGTGATGGCGCCCGACACCGTGTCAGGCAAGCCAACTCTAATTTAACTAATGGGTTCTCATTATTTTTACCAAAACAACCCCAACATCTTTCAATTAACAGTTAAGCTTTTAACCAGTAAATAATTAACAAGTTCGTAATAAGATAAAATACATCCCAAAATAATAGACTAGAAGTGTGTGCCAGGAACTAGTGTCACAAGTACTAGGGCAACTAGTAGAATGTACAAAAATATACCACTATCCTACTGCCTGAAACAAAATAGGCAGTACATAATCAACAACAAAAGAAGAGAACTCCGATATGCTACTGAACGGCTCAGAAGGGCAGCTCACAGTGAGATCTCGATCAAGAGTCAGGAACGCGCGCCGGAGGGATAAGTAGATGCACCTGCCTCAGATCCTGTACAGTTAAGTACAAAAGAATAGTATGAGTACATAAACAACATGTACCCAGCAAGTATCCAGTCTAACCTCGAAGAAGTAGTGACGAGGGGTCGACTTGACACTTACTAAGGTCAATATCAATAATATTTAAGGTTTTGGCTAAGCATGTATAGCATGGATATAATGACAGTCTCAGAATAAGGAGAAATGGTATATCAATTGCATTCATGTCATATAATAACTTACATTTCAAGCATTTAAACAGAGTAAATCACGGATGAATTCCACACAAACAACATGCGCACATTATGCCGAGGTCGTACGGCCCGATCCACATAATAATAACTATGCACTACCAGAGGGTCGAATGACGCGAACCAT